TTCACTTCCCCTTTCCTCTGTCTGATTTCTTTCTTTCTCGTTTCAATTTTACGATGAGCCTTGATCGCTTGTGAACTTCAGTTGCTTACTCCGATCTGATCTGCTTATTTGAGCTCACAGCTCACTCACTGTTTGGTTTCTTCTTCTCCCGACCGATTCTTGTTTAAATTGACGCCGCTTGCTTAATTTAGCTTATTATAGACCGTGAATAGAAAGATGAAATGCAGTAATGGAGGTAGCGAAGAAACAAAGAAAAGCAGGATCCCGGATCTACGCGTCTTTATGTCTTTCCTTTCTCGCCGTTTTTTCCCCTTCCTTTTCCTACGGGATACCACCTCCCTTAATTTTCTCGGGAAAATTCCGGCGGAAAAGGGAAAGCTAGAAGTAAAAAAGTAAAAAGAAAAAAAAAAGTAAAGAGAAAATTTCCGAATCAGTGAATCATTATCCGGCGGTTTTATCATTTGAATTAGAAAGACGGGGAGGCACTTGGTTGGGGTAGGGTTGTTTTTGTCATGTGGGGTTGGCTAGGGTTTAGAGATGAATCAGTTAAGTGGTGCACTTGTGCTTAGAAATGGGGAGCTGGCTGATACTGTGTTTTCTTTTCGTTTTTTGAATAGAAGCCGTTGATATTGATGTTGGTAGATTTTGATTTTGTTGGCAGGATCTTCTGAGCGAGACAGAATTTGGGATTATCTAAACCTACGAATTTTTGGGAATAATTAGATTTTGGGTTGGGGGTTTAAAGATTTCGTTGTTGAGATGGCTTCCAAGTCGTTCAAAGGGAGCAGATCGAACCTATCCATCAGTTCAGATGCGACGGACTCTCAGAAGCCTGCCCTGCCGCCGACGGTGACATTCGGGAGGAGAACGTCGTCGGGAAGGTACGTGAGCTACTCGAGGGAAGACCTGGACAGCGAGATCGGAAGTAGCGACTTCATGAACTACACGGTACACATCCCGCCGACGCCGGACAACCAGCCGATGGACCCTTCCATCTCGCAGAAGGTCGAGGAGCAGTACGTCTCCAACTCTCTCTTCACCGGCGGCTTCAACAGCGTCACCAGGGCCCACCTCATGGACAAGGTCATCGACTCCGAGGCCAGCCACCCGCAGATGGCCGGCGCCAAGGGCTCCTGCTGCGCCGTCCCAGGGTGCGATGCTAAAGTTATGAGCGACGAGCGCGGCGTCGACATCCTCCCCTGCGAGTGCGACTTCAAGATCTGCCGGGACTGCTACATCGACGCCGTCAAGACCGGCGGCGGCATCTGCCCTGGTTGCAAGGAGTCTTACAAAAACACCGAGCTGGATGAGGTCGCCGTCGACAACAATTCTCGCCCGCTTCCTCTCCCTCCACCTGGGACCATGTCGAAGATGGAGCGCCGCCTCTCGCTCATGAAATCCACAAAATCCGTGCTCATGAGGAGCCAGACTGGGGACTTTGATCACAACCGCTGGCTCTTTGAGACCAGGGGCACTTACGGTTATGGAAATGCTATTTGGCCCAATGACGGTGGCTTTGGCTCCAACAATGGCAAGGATGAAGATGTTCATCAGCCTAAGGACTTGATGTCCAAACCATGGAGGCCTCTCACCCGTAAATTGAAGATACCTGCTGCTGTTATCAGTCCATACAGGTATTCATTCATTCATAATCCAAGCTCTTTCCATTTCCTGTTTACTGAGTTGATTGGATCTGTACCCTATAATAACTGAATAGTACCCTGCCCAAGCCCTTGTTTGTAAATGAAGTCTTTTTATGGGGTCTTGATGATGAATATTCACACAAGTGGAACAAACAAGTAGTTCAATTCTCATTGCTTCCTTGCTTCTGCAAAAGAAAGCTGCTCTCTTTCTACTTCTCTGTTAGTGTTAGGTACTGCTTCTCCTAACAGAGAAGAGCTTTTTGTTGTTAATCTTGGTGCTGACTGATTGCTTCATCCCTTGCTTGAATTAAAACCAATTTGCATCCTCTACTCACGCCCTCTCCGCTCTTGTGTTTCAGACTTCTTGTTGTCATTCGAATCGTCGCCCTTGGTTTGTTTTTGCAATGGAGGGTGGCCCATCCTAACCAGGACGCAATCTGGCTATGGGGGATGTCAATTGTCTGTGAGATTTGGTTTGCTTTTTCTTGGCTTCTTGACCAACTTCCCAAGCTCTGCCCAATCAACCGTGCCACTGATCTGAATGTTTTGAAGGAGAAATTTGAAACCCCCACACTAAACAACCCAACAGGAAAGTCAGATCTTCCAGGGGTAGATGTATTTGTCTCCACTGCAGATCCTGAGAAAGAACCACCTCTTGTCACTTCAAACACCATCTTATCGATCTTGGCTGCCGACTACCCTGTTGAAAAGCTTGCATGTTATGTATCTGATGATGGTGGAGCACTTCTGACCTTCGAAGCCATGGCTGAAGCTGCTAGTTTTGCCAACGTTTGGGTTCCCTTCTGCCGTAAACATGAGATAGAGCCTAGGAATCCAGAGTCCTACTTTAGCCTGAAGAGGGATCCCTACAAGAACAAAGTGAAATCAGACTTTGTCAAGGACCGCAGAAGAGTAAAGCGGGAGTACGATGAGTTCAAGGTGCGAATCAATGGTTTGCCTGATTCCATTCGCCGTCGTTCTGATGCATATCACGCACGGGAAGAAATCAAAGCCTTGAAGCTTCAGAGGCAGAACATGGAGGATGAACCTGTTGATAGTGTCAAGATTCCAAAGGCTACATGGATGGCTGATGGTACTCACTGGCCTGGCACTTGGATGACTCCTGGACCTGAGCACTCCAAAGGAGACCATGCTGGAATTATTCAGGTATATTCTTTATAGTTCATTTGCTTTCATTCTCCAGGTCACTACATGGATCGGTTTAACTGATATAAGAAATGGGGCGTTGTTCTATGCAGGTGATGCTGAAACCTCCGAGCGACGAGCCACTACATGGCGGTTCCGATGAAGCTAAGCTCATCGACCTCACTGATATTGACATTCGTCTACCGCTTCTTGTTTATGTTTCCCGTGAGAAGCGCCCTGGTTATGATCATAACAAGAAGGCAGGAGCCATGAACGCTCTCGTTAGAGCTTCCGCTATCATGTCAAATGGCCCTTTCATTCTCAATCTGGACTGCGACCATTACATATACAACTCTCAGGCACTAAGAGAAGGCATGTGCTTCATGATGGATCGAGGTGGGGATCGCCTCTGTTATGTTCAGTTCCCTCAGAGGTTCGAAGGTATCGACCCCTCTGACAGATATGCCAACCACAATACTGTCTTCTTCGATGTCAACATGCGTGCTCTTGATGGGCTTATGGGACCTGTGTATGTGGGGACGGGATGCCTTTTCAGAAGGATTGCTTTGTATGGGTTTGACCCTCCTCGATCAAAAGATCACCATCCAGGCTGCTGCAGCTGCTGTTTCTCCAGCCGCCGGAAGAAGCATTCCTCAGTTGCACACACTCCGGAGGAGAATAGGTCATTGAGGATGGGTGATTCAGACGATGAAGAAATGAACCTCTCGCTGCTGCCCAAGAAGTTCGGTAACTCAACCTTCCTGATCGACTCAATCCCAGTAGCTGAGTTTCAAGGACGCCCGCTTGCTGATCACCCAGCTATTAAGAATGGGCGCCCACCTGGCGCTCTGACCATTGCACGTGATCTTCTTGATGCATCTACTGTTGCTGAGGCAATCAGTGTCATATCGTGCTGGTACGAGGACAAGACGGAGTGGGGTCAGCGAACTGGATGGATTTACGGGTCGGTCACTGAAGATGTGGTGACCGGTTACAGGATGCACAACAGAGGCTGGAAATCTGTTTACTGTGTCACCAAGCGTGATGCCTTCCGAGGCACGGCACCTATCAATCTCACGGACAGGCTCCACCAGGTGCTGAGGTGGGCCACTGGTTCGGTCGAGATCTTCTTCTCCCGCAACAACGCGCTGCTGGCGAGCTCAAGGATGAAGTTTCTCCAGAGAATAGCGTACCTCAACGTCGGTATATACCCTTTCACATCGGTGTTCCTGATCGTCTACTGCTTCCTGCCAGCGCTCTCCCTGTTCTCGGGGCAGTTCATCGTGAACACTCTGGACGTGACGTTCCTCGTGTACCTGCTTGTCATTTCCGTGACGCTGTGCATGCTGGCAGTGTTGGAGATAAAGTGGTCCGGGATCGAGCTGGAGGAATGGTGGAGGAACGAACAGTTCTGGTTGATCGGCGGGACCAGTGCTCACCTTGCAGCGGTGCTCCAGGGCCTGCTGAAGGTGGTTGCCGGGATCGAGATCTCCTTCACTCTGACGTCAAAGTCGGGAGGCGACGACGTGGACGACGAGTTTGCGGATCTATACATAGTGAAGTGGACATCGCTGATGATACCGCCGATCGTGATCATGATGGTGAATCTGATTGCTATAGCCGTGGGGGTGAGCAGGACGATATACAGTGTGATCCCTCAGTGGAGCAGGCTTCTGGGAGGAGTGTTCTTCAGCTTCTGGGTGCTGGCTCATCTTTATCCATTTGCCAAGGGGCTGATGGGGAGGAGAGGGAGGACGCCTACGATTGTGTTCGTGTGGTCGGGGCTCGTGGCCATCACCATATCTTTGCTTTGGGTGGCCATCAATCCTCCTTCCAACACTAACCAAATTGGTGGATCCTTCCAGTTCCCCTAAGCTACTGCTAGACCGTCCTTTTACTCAGTTACTCCTCTGCAGCTTGATTTTGACGTGATTTCCCTGCCTGCAAGTATTCCTTCATTAAATTATTACTCCTATATATTGGCTCTTCTTTTAGAAACTTTTTCTGTAACTGTGACCAAACAAACAGAAGTACATGTTTTCTCTCTCTTTTCTTTTGTAATGGAAAGTTTGATGTTAGTGTTGATCAGTTTTACAGCAGGTGACTAATGAAAGTTGGTTTTGCAATCCATGGTGTCGTTGGTCCATTAGTTAAAAGTAGAACATGCATTTTTCTTGGTAGATTATAGATGGAAGTAAGAAAGTAGAGGAAGTGCATGCAGAAGTCGTGAACTGCAGTGGTTTGAGCAGCTGAGATGCATGGGATGGAAAAATGTATCTCCTGATCTTGTCCTAACTCCATCCAACCCAAGCCCTGGAACTCCGTCAAATAGAAAAAAATACCAGAAACACGATCCACCCGAAGGAGGATTATGGCATCTTACGTTTTCCGTTGCATTGTTTTGCAACTGCTGCTGCTGATTTTGGTTGCTGCTGCTGCAGATCATTCAGACGATGGTGTCAATCACAATTCTTCCTACGCTAGTGCAACAACAGCTGCGGACACCGGCGGGCGAGACCTGGCCGTTGCGACGGAAGAGATGAGGAGAGCCAACTACTTCACTTTCGTGATGCTGCTGAACATGATGATGGCCGATCAACAGGACGCCGCCGGCAACCTCACCTTCCTCATGCCCAACGACCGCATCTTGTCGAGGATCACATTCAAGACCCAACAACAAGAAGCAGAAACACAAGTCGACGACGACGAGCAGTCATCATCATCATGGTCTGTTAGGGAATTCATGCTTCGTCATTCCATCCCCTCCCCGTTGCTGTTCGACCATCTCTGGCACTTCCCGTCGGGTTCCACCATCCCGAGTTCCAGCCCGGGGTACGTGCTTCACGTCCGCAACGACAACGACGTTAGCAGCAAATGGTGGCGGAGGAGGAGGAGCAACGGCGGAGGAAGGGGGAACTACAACTTCTCCCTCAACGACGTCAAGATCATCAGCCCCAATATATGTACCTCTCCGGCCTCCTCCATAAGATGTCACGGGATCGACGGCGTGCTTCCCCTCCGGCCGATTTCCACTCCTACTTGTGGGCCGAAGTCCGCTGGTCCACCTGACGTCGGCGGCGATGATGTTGGGGTTGCCATTAGTCCGGCACCCTCTACCACCCACGTCGACCCCATACAACCTTCGCCTTCCTCTCCCCACAAGAGATCATCGTCGTCGTCTTTCTCGTCCTCACCTGCTGGGCTTTCTTCTCAACTGCTCCTCCTCTTACTCTTATTCGTGTTGGTATCATGTTGGGCCTAGTATCCCTCCAGGCTCAGACGGAAATATCACTGTAGTAATTCATTTATGGTCCACTGCTTTCTTACTGTCTTTTCCTTTCACCAGAAAAGAAAATAAAGACCCTGATTTGTTATTAAATTGCGCTAATGCAATATAATGAAAAACTTTATCAACATTGACAGGAAAGAGGAGAATGTAGATTTCTGCAAATGCGATTCTGAAAGATGCAGATGGTGTTGGGTGAGTGAGCATGAACATAAGCATTCGTGTTCATGTAAAGCTATCCATCCATGTTTCTTCCTTTCCAATGTCCCAAAACAACATCCAGCATCAGTAAAATTACATTTTCCCCTGTAAACGCGATTCACTTTCAAGCCGATAACGATCACCTTCCAGCTTCTCTCCTTTCTCAAACTCCAGCATATCCCGGCAAGTATCATGCTACATGGATGGATGCAATATCAAGCTATTCAGCCAGCTTAACAAAATATGAAGATCGCCAAACCAATAATCATGGGTCAATCCTCTACATATTATGAATGATAGCAATCTTATTCCCCGGAAGGGTACAAGATGCAGATCATCTCCCTTTATGGCGTCAAATAGAAATGGACAAGGTAAGAAGCATATAAATCCATAGAATCCATGAAAAATGCAAAGGGGTGGATGGATATCCCAATTTCTACTAAGAATTCACCAAGACAGAAGGCACACATCAAGAGCTTATTCCCCTGGTAATCAACACCAAGCTGCTAATGATTTGGGATGCATACAGAATTCATTAAGCATGCCAAAGATGACACGATTGCCCCGATAACATATAATGTAGTGTAACGCCTTTGTCCTGCCTCACACAAAGAAGACAAGTCGTACCAAGCTCCTAGTGATGATGATCCTGGACGAACCTCAGACCACAATATTTGCAAACTGCAGGCTCCTTCAGGTCCAAGCAGATGAACTCAATTGGATGCCCAAGTGCAGGGTTTGTATCTGCAGAACCAAACAGGCCCCAGGCCAACACATTAACTTAACAGCTCCAGATAGATTATCTCTTTCCATCTCTATTTCCTCCCAAGATTATGACACAAATAAGCAACCACAGTTTCAAAATGACGGAAGCAAGGTACGAAAAGTACAAAACTAACCTCCTTCGCACGCAGCAATCCTTCCCTCAACCTTGATGGGTGGAATCTCGTTGATCAACTCCATCGGAGATTTCTTGGTTGTATCCTACGTAACAAGAAAAAACAACCCTTTTTCAAGCTCTTATTCTTCTTCTCCTTCTTCAAAACAGAACATTCCACTCAGGATGCAGTGGAAATCACTGTTACATATGAACATTGACAAATAGACCCACGTTTGATACCGCAAGGAGATCATAATTCAGGGAAAAGATACTTTCTTTCCCCCTTTCTTTGGCTAGTTTGAAGACTAATTCGGGCAGCATGAAGCGCAGATGCCTCAGGAGTCAGGACAATGAACATGAGATTGTGAAAAACACATTGGGAAAACATCCATCCTTGCATCCGATACCTCATCAAACACTACTCGAACATAAGCGCATAACTATACACAGCGACTTTCTCAGATTCGGAAGCCCAACGCGATAGATAGGAACGCAACTAAAACTAATCTATTCCAAATTAATGATCATTGGTCCTTCTAAAACGTATGCCAATTGAGAAAAAAATCCTAGTTTTCAAAGAAAGGGATGAATCTAATTGAAAAGCACCTGCATCCATTTGGCCGTGTGTTGGCTGATTTGGCTGCTAACGAGGCTGAAATTTCTTGTCGCGGTGGGAGTAGAGGAACCCACCAAACCGGACGATTGTTTCGCTAGGGTTTTCAACAAAGACGCCATCGGAAGGAAGGAATGGAGAGCTTCTTCTTGTTGCTCGCAATGCGCCTGACTGGCCTTTCTGAAGAAGCGAATCGGTACGGTTGGAAATTTTGCAGTTGCAGAGAGGAGAGAGAATGCCTTCCTTCTGGTTCTGGAAGAGGAGTTGGATTTCATTCACGTTTGTTCTTCTCCAAAATTGGCATTGGCCCAAATACGAATACTTGGACCGGGCCTGGTAATGAATGAAAAACAAAACAACAAATTATGGGTTAATTTGTTGGTCATTGAAATTATAAAAAACGTTCATATTTGATGACTGAAAATATTTAAATCTAATCTTGGTCACTTAAATGAGGTAAATGGTTCAAATTTGGTCACTCTCCATCCAACTCTGTTAACTCTTGCTTATGTAGCAGTCAACTTTTATAGTTGACTGTTAAATGTGTGACGTGGCAATTAAAAATTAAATTAATTTAATTTATATATTTTCCACCTCATTTCTAACTAGGAATGGTAATGTTGATTGCTGACTGATCGTTTCCACCTCTGTTGACGGCTTGCGGCCTCCGCCATGCTCGAAGGCGATCGATGGTCAGGCCTCCTTCCTCTACTCGGCTCTCACTAATCGCGCTCGGGACCAGTGGAATTAAACCCTTCGTCTCGTCATTCGGCGCCGACCACTTCTACATGGTGGCAGGTTTGGATTTTCGTGGCGGCGGGTACGATCGCAACGGCATTTTAACTGAAGAGTTTTTTCGCCCGACCGATGTGCGGAGTGGCGTCGGATGCTATGGGTAAGAGGTTTGATGAGAGAGGGAGGGTTTGGGCCTTGTGGGTCGTGCTGACGGCAGCCGGGGAGGATTCGCTTTGCGCTGGGGAGGGCGGCGACACTGTAGAGATCGGTGGCGGTTATGTGCGCTTTTTCCGTGGCGGTTCAGGTTGCCTCCGGGCTTGTGTTTGGTGTCGTGCCTTTCGCCTCCAAATGGTAAAAAAGAGGAAGGACTTTGATTAGTTGCTGATTGTTCTAACTTTTTTTACTGCGAGGTTCCGTGTTTAACTATGGCAGTAAAGGTAACTAGCTCATTCGTTGGTCTTTCCAATCACCGCAGAAGAAAGGAACAGTGGCAGTGTGTTTGAGACTCTGAGTAGAAAGGTAGAAGTAGAACACAGGAACACGACGATTGTGAAGTTTAGAGTTCTAGGCTTCTGGCTAATGGAAGTATAGTCGAGGAAACAGAACAGAAATGCAGGGATGGGGAAGAGGAAAAGGGTGTCTGACCCGGAGCAAGGAAATTTCATAATTGAGTACGTGGCAGGTGGTCTAAAATGAAATCCTTTATTATTTTTAGGTGATGATTGGGTGGTTTGTTGCTTTCTTTCTGAGGTGGAAAATATATAATTAAATTAATTTTATTATTTTTTAATTGCCACGTCACACATTTAACGGTCAACTTTAAAAGTTGACTGCCACATAAGCAAGAGTTAACGGAGTTGGACGGAAAGTGATCAAACTTGAACCATTTAACTAATTTGAGTGACCAAGATTGGATTTAAATATTTCTAGTGACCAAACATGAATGTTTTTTGTAATCTGAGTGACCAATCATGCAATTAACCCAAATTTTTTTCGGTAAGTTAACTTTACCATTAAGCACCCTCTTGGCTATAACCAGCACAAGAGCTCGAAAAAACACAAAGGTTAAAACGCCCACACCAGTCCTTTACAAGGAATTACCAAAAGAAAAACAAAACTCACTACTCATCTAAACATTTACAGCAGGAAATAGTTTTACTTAAGAGTATCTGAAACTCAGGTCGAGCCACAACATACAGCCTGACTTCCTCCCTGAGCTGCTCTGCAACACAATAGTAGCACGAGGCTGTTCACCAAAAACCGTTTGACATCTCTCCTTCCAAACAGCATTTACACACCAACACCAGATCGATGCTTCAATCTCTCCACAACTTCCCTTCTTCCTTACTCAAGTTACAATTCTATCCAGCATTAACCCAAAAAATTAGGGCATTGCTATTCGTCGCCCTAAAATTTCTTATTCATCGCCCTAATTATATTAAATTTACTTTAATGCCCCTTAGTTGATTTATTTATCTTCTAAACACTTAAACCCAAACTTCATTTATTTATCTTCTAAACACTTTAACCCAAAACAAACTCATATATTACACCAAATAACAAAATATAATCAAAGAAAAAACAACATAATTTATAATATATTTTTAAAATTAAAATTCTTTTTTCAATTGAATAAATTCTTCCACATATAGTTAGTAATCATCAGTATCAGATACAATAGAATATGAGTTCATCCCTGTAACCATTTAATCAACTCTCGACGCAGACACCCAGACACGACACCAGGTTGCAGCTTTCCACCCATCTTCAAAAAACTGTTAAAAATCTATCATCAAATAAAAGATGGTAAAGTTGAAATTGCATTCTGTTTGTGCTTGGATTGTTCCAAGCGGTTTGTGAGAGTCCACTGGCCTTGGGCGGCTTCGATGGTCGAGGGCGGTCTCTGAAACCCTGCAAAAAGGTCCTCGGGGGGCTCCCAGGACCTCCTCCGACACTTAAGTTAGAGAGAGAAGTGGAAATATGAGTAAATAAGAGAGAGAATCGAGTAGGTAGAAGTTACCATCAATGTGGTTCGCAACTGAGTATTTATACTAGTGCTAGGCAGATCATGGGCATTTAATGACTTGTCGGGCGTCTTGGGACGCACTCGACAGCTCTGGTCACTCCGTACCTTTTTCAGACTCCGTACTGATCGGGCCAGAGCCAGGTTTCCGTTTACCATTATGTCGGGCGGTCTTGGGGAGCCCTCAACAGTACTGACTTATCTGTTCCTTTGTCAGACTCCGTACCGATAAGGTCAGGACCAAATATCCATATGTCATAATGTCGGGCGGTCCTCACTTGTGTGTAGGAAAAGACCGCCTAAGGCAGTTTTGGTGACTCGCTGCCCCTACTCAGGCCCGACTCGTTTCTTTACGGATTTTGGGTTACTGTGGGCTTGGAGCCCAAGTGTCTCACTATTTGGCCCGGCAATGGGTCTTAGGCTACTATGGGCCTGGAGCCCAAGCGCCTCAATATTTGGCCCAACATTTGCCCCTTAGGCGTGGGAAGCGGTAGGTTTTCGCGGCTAAACAATATTTTCCGCGAATGTTGGATGGCTCTGGGTATCGTGGCCCATAGTAGGCTCGAGGCGGTCATTGGCCGCACTTAGTGTGATTCCCTTGCTGCCCCTAGTCGCGGAGGCATATCGCGAGGACGCCTGAGGGGAAGGACCGCGCCCGGTCTCGGTATTCGACTTTCGCTCGCCACGTGTCATGCATCGGGCGGGGAGCCCTGACACCGGCAGACGGAACGTCACCTCTGGGGGTGTTCCGCTCTCGGACTTCGTGAAAAAGGTCTCGTCAGGACGTCACTCTTTCCCTTTTCGCCTTTAAGTAGAATTTCAAGAGGGATTTCCGCCACTCTCCTCCGGTTTAGGAAAGCGCTTCGTCTTCTTCCCCTCTTCTTTCTCCGCGGAAAGCTCCAAGGTCTCCGACGTCGTCGCCTATAAATTCAGTCTTTCAGGTGAGTTCTGACTTCACTTCTTTTTGTTTTGGTCTCGGACGCGCGGTTTCTTTAGTGTTGTTGACTCGCGTGTTGTTCTTGTGGTCGGCGACGGTGCTTCGATCATTGTGAATCGCCGATCTTTGTTCGTTCTCGCCGTCGACAGATGTCGCGTGAGGGACCCTCGTCTTTGCTCAGCGGGGAGAAGGACCATGCCCCCGAGGCGGGGAACGTCCTGGTCGCTGACCCTGGTCCTACGGCGGTGTCGATGAAGGAACCCGCATCCTCGGCCGCTACGGCGCCGCCTCGTGCTACCGGGAAGAAACCCGTGGAGACCGCCTCTGGTATTCAAGGTACGAATTATTCTTCTCCCGTTCGAAGCACGTCTGAATGCGTGTGGGATTTATCCGGATTAGAGCTATATGTTGGAGAGGGGTACGAATTGAGAGATTGCCTTGTTGGAACTTGTGTAGACTTAGATAACTCTTGTGCTAACCTCCACCCTGTACCAGTTGGGGTTGTGGCCACCTCGTCGGCGGTTGGGGATAATCTTGGGGAATTTGAGCGGGTAGACTTAGATAGCATATCGTTGGATGACTCGGAGGAGGTTGATAGTGACGGGGTGCGGTCTGGGGCGCATCCGAGTTCTTCTTCCTCGTTGGAGGTTTCAGAGGATGGGGAACCAAGACCGCTCCCTATCGCTATTAAAGACCCTGTGTACACTGTTCTGCGCCATGCCGGTATGTGGGATGGGGAGGCCGTTTTGGAGGAGGTCTTTGAGCAGGGTCCGCCTCATGTAGCGGCCTTTAAACCTGAGCAGGTGTTATACCGGATTAAGTCGCTGCGGATGCCACCAGATTGGCTTTACACGGTCCCTTATGGGAGGAGTCGCATCGGATCGTGCCCTTCCGGTTGGATCCCCATATTGGTCGAGCATGTTAAGCTTGGTTTACGGTTTCCTCTTGACGATCTCCTGACAAGGATTGTGCTCCGGCTCCAATGCACTCTAGGGCGTCTTTCGCCAACGATTATCTTCCATTCGGTCATGTATCGTTTGGCGTGTGACTGCCTTAAAGAAGATCCGTCATTTGATGCTTTCCGGATGATTTATAATATCCGTGACTCGACCAATTGCTGGTCGATTGGGAGGCGGGAAAATTCAGTTGGTTTCGTGAGAGGGGCGCCGAAGCTGGATTCACCATGGTATAAGGAGTATTTTTTCGCCCGCCTTTCGCGAAAGTGGTACGCGGGTGATGTTGAGCCACCTACCGGGTATGCGGTTGGTTCCAAGGATGACTGGTCCGATTCTACTCAGTTCCCACACCGTGCGGGATCACGTGGCGCGGATAGTGGAGGGCGTTCAACTGCGCGTGCAGCATAGCGGCTCTAACAGTGCTTATCAGCTTGTTCGCGGTTTTTATGGTCAGTAGTGTTTACTTGAAACGTCGTACTTTATCCTTCTCATGTGTTTTTACTTATGCTTTCTTTCTCCAGGGCTGAGGGAGTTGGCCGATGCTAACAGGCCGAAGAAGAGGAAGGCAGGTAGGACCGCACGAGCGGGTGAAGCTCCTTCGTCTGCGGCGGTCCCTATGATTGATCTTTCGGCGGTCCCCCAAATGCAGTCTCCTATGAAATCGTCGGGCGCGGTTGGTGTGTCTTCTGCTCCCATTGCTCGGGGAGCGGGGAAGAGGGTGATAGACCGCGGAGCTCCCGAGGCGGCCTGTAAGCGCACAAAGGTTGGTTCTCCGCGCATTAAGGCTGGGGAAAAGCATGGGCCTGCCCCGAAGCGGTCGGCCAAATCTGGTTCTGTGACTGTCCCCCCT